TGAGTAACATTCAAAATAATCTTTCCCATGACTGAGAGTCCCCATTTAGTCTCTTACCTTCCCTTCTCTACAAATACATACAGAGAGAGAGAGAGAGAGAGAGAGAGAGAGAGAGAGGCTGTTTTAGGTGCATCCATTGACATTTAATAAATCCCTGTGGTTTTTAATAATCCGCTTCTGTGACACATGGTTTAATTTCTCTCTGTCAGAATGGTCTCATTTGATCAGGTACTTTTGATAATACGACACTGGAAAACATGCGGTCTCAATATAGCCGGTGTGACAGCCGTTATGTCTGTATCTTTGTTAATTGGGTTTCAGCAATTTGGTCGGGAACACAGAACATCAACAAGTCTGTGACGAGCTTTTTGATGCTTTAAAAATAGGTTTGGAATTAATATCGTGCCGTGCGCTCCTTCTGTTGGGAGGGCTTGTGCTTTTATTGATTCATCCTCTATTCTATGAGAGCCAGTTTGGTGTAGTGGTAAGGAGTGGGGACTCTAATCTGGGAGAATCGGGTTTGATTCCCCATTCTTCCACATGCAGCTGCTGGTGTGACCTTGGGTCAGTCACAAGTTATTTCAGAGCTGTTCTCTCAAGGGCAGTTCTCCAAGGAGCTCTCTCCCACCTACCTCACAGGGTATCTGTTGTAGGGAGGAGGAGAGGAAAGGGATTGTAAGCCGCTCTGAGACTCCTTTGGGTAGTGACGGGCGGGGTCTAAATCCAATCTCTTCTTCTCTCCTGCACAAAAATTGAGTTACTATAGGGCAGTGATGGCAAACCTTTTAGAGACCGAGTGCCCAAACTGCGACCCAAAACCCACTTATTTATCACAAAGTGCCGACACGGCAATTTAACCTGAATACTGAGGTTTTACTTTAGAAAAAAAACACTCATACATTAACTTAAGATGACCCAAACAAAGTAAGGAAAGCAATCCCAAATGCTTTCATTTACTTAAAATTATTTGGCAGAGATAGGGTTGCCAAATATGTTTTGGCCGGGAGCAGGGGGCTCCCAGCCAGCGTCTGGAACGTGCGCGTGTGCGTAGCGTGCACGTCACCCGGAAGTGACGTCGCACGCTGGGGGCAGGGCCACGCCATTTGAGGGGAAAACTCTTTGTTTTCCCCTCAAATGCCGTGACCCCGCCCCCAGCGTGTGACGTCACTTCCGGGTGATGCGCACGCGGGGGTGGGGTTTTCCCCGGGCCCCGATTCTGCGGGAGCGGAAAGCGGGGCTCGAAAGTGGGGGGAAATCCCCCCCGGGGGGCATTTGGCAGCCCTAGGCAGAGAATTCAACACTTTAATGATGGTCTGGGCCTGGCTGGGGCGATGGCACGCGTGCCCACAGAGAGGGCTCTGAGTGCCAACTCTGGCACCCGTGCCATAGGTTCACCACCACTGCTATAGGGCGTGAATAAACTTCTGTCCAAACATTTTGGGGGAAAAATAGTCTCATTCTTGTCCCTTTTACATCTTTTTCTCTCCCTGCTTTGAAAGAAGCAAACAGAAGACAAACACTTCTGTCAGATAATTGGGTGACATTGGTGGTTTTAAGTTGCTATGTGAACCTTAAAGGAGTTATGGGACAGTAGTGAATGGTGCGTGAGTGTATATGAATATTGTTGTAGATCACCGCAATGATTGCATCTTTAATTTCGTTGTACTATGTACAATGACAATAAAGTATACTACTACTAGTCGTATCACAAATACCGAGATCTGAATCTGTATCTTTTTTCTGTCATCATGGACCTGTTCATTCCGCCCATTTTTCATCCCTAATGATCCTGATCCATTGATTCCTTTTATATTGCTAGCGTACCATTGAGATTGGAATAAATGAAGTGAAGAATTTCAGCATGGGGGAATGGAAAACGGCGTGAAATTCAGGGGTCCAGTTAGCACAAGGGGGAGACAAAATCAGAACGGGAATTTCCAAACCAGCGGAGATAGACGATTCAGAATCATCCCTGTTAAAAACAAAGCATTTATATCCACTTCCATTCTGATATCTGAGGATCCAATGAAATAATGATGTGAGGGAACCATTATTTGGAACTCTTTATGAGTTTTATCAGTCAAATCCAACTTTTGGCGTAGTGGTTTTGAGCCAGTTTGGTGTAGTGGTTAGGAGCACGGACTCTGATCTGGGAGAACCGGGTTTGATTCCCCACTCCTCCACATGCAGCTGCTGGCATGACCTTGGATCAGTCACAAGTTCTCTCAGAGCTGTTCTCTCAAGAGCAGTTCTTTAAAGAGCTCTCTCAGCCCCACCTACCTCACAGGGTGTCTGTTGTGGGGAGGGGAAGGGAAAGGAGATCGTAAGCCGCTTTCAGACTCCTTCGGATAGTGAAGGGCAGGGCTGTTTTTGGGCAGAAACGCACAGGAACGGAGTTCCGGCTGTCTCCCGAGTTGGCCACGCCCAGCAGGAACTCATTAGCATAATAGGCCACACCCAACAGCAGAAACTAATTAGGGTTGGCTACATTCGGGGTGTGTGGCCTAACATGCAAAGGAGTTCCTCCTACAAAAAAAGGCCCTGGGTTTTGACAACAAACAAGGGGGAATTTCACATTACCCAGTTTCTCCTGGTTTCAGGCCGGTATTCTTCCGTTTTGAGTTGAACCGGTACAGGGCTGCCATTTCACACATGGCTTGCCCCTACCGGAAATCAGCCGGTTCAGAAGCGGTTTGGCATTTCAGACATGCACCGCTTTGTTTTCCCGCCGTTTTCTTCCCATGCGGGCGATCGATTTTTTTTTAAAAACGTTCGCTTTATAGCGCTATAGCGCTATAGCAGTATAACAAGACACTCCATGCGTTCCAATGGGATTGATATAGTGCTATTCCATTATATCGTTATAGCGCTATAGCGCTATAACACTATAAATCGAACGTTCAAAAAAAAACCAGCAGGAGATCGCCCGCACGGGCAAAAAAAGGCGGGAAACAAGCGTATCCGAACCGGGAGAGGGAACTGGAGACTAGTCAGAAGCGGTTGACAGGTAAAACGCTTCAGTCCCGGTTCCTAAACGGGACTGAAGCTTTTGTGTGTGAAATGGCAGTTACATTCCGGTAGGGAACCGATTCTCAAACGGGTTCTGTCTGAAATGACAAACCAGAACCCGTTTGAGAACCGGTTCCCTACCGGGAGATATCGCCTGTCTGAAATTCCCCAAGGTAAACAGAATAAGAAGCAAAAGGTGGGTGTGGCTGGATAACCACACTTCTGGTAACATGGGGGTGCGGCCTAATGTGCTAATGAGCTGTGCTGTCAGGGGTGTGGCCCAATAGGCGAATGAGTTCCTGCTGTTGGGTGTGGCCTATTATGCTAATGAGTTCCTGCTGGGCTTTTTCTACAAAAAGAGCCCTGGAGGGCGGGGTATAAATCCAATCTCTTCTTCTTCTCTTTTTTCTTTTCTCCCTGGCTGTGAAATCAAAGTGACTTTTCACATCATTCCCCCCCTTCTCTTATTCCTCACACTTGGTGGGCTTCCATAGTTGAACGAGGGATTCCAGCACACTCTTCAAAGGTCCTAGCCTGACACTGTAACCCAGGGGTGTCGATCTCACAGCCTGTGGGCCGAAAGCAGCCCGTGCAGGGCCCTTACCCAGCATATGATCAACTGGTCATTACGTTTATCGACAGATGACTCAGGCTGTGCATTATGTCCCTGTATACTTGTCCCAGTGCTAATGCGTAACGGGTGGTGGAGGCGGGAGGGAGGCATCAGGGAGATACTGTAAGGAAATACTGTAAGAGTGTTAATGTTGTGAGTTCATATTTTGAGTAAAAAATAATACCGCTCATTGAGTTTGCCTGTCCCCTTTGTAAAGTTTATCTCTCCGGTGCCTGGCATTACATTTTATGGAACTCATGGTCTCTCTGGAGAAAGTGACATTTATGTCAGATCCGTCCCTTGTAACAAACAAGTTTGACACCTCAAAAATCAGGGCCGCTGGGCGGTGAAAACGGAGCTTTTCTGGCGGGCATTCCTATAGGAGCTGCACCTTATCAGCCTCGCCCTGTGTCGACCTAGAGTTAGAAGCTTCCACAGTGGAGCATCGCTGAATGTGTTCTTAAATGCATTGTATTATATCGCACCGCCATTGTTATATCAACTGTTTTAAATTGTTTATTATGGATTTTTACACTGAGATGTATATTGTTTTATTGGTTTTATGTAAGCCGCCGTCTTCCGTTTTTAATCTCCAGATCCAGGGCTTAATCTCCAGGGCTTCTAGTGTCCTGGCCCCACTGGTGGACCTCCTGATGGCACCTGGTATTTCTGGCCACTGTGTGACAAGAGTGTTGGACTGGATGGGCCACTGGCCTGATCCAACATTGGCTTCTCTTATGTTCTACAGACGAAACACTCTGTCTGGGGCAAGGGATGCTCTGTATTCTTGGTGCTTGGGAGGGGGGCAACAGTGGGAGGGCTTCTAGTGTCCTGGCCCCACTGGTGGACCTCCTGAAGGCACCTGGTATCTTTGGCCACTGTGTGACAGAGTGTTGGACTGGATGGGCCATTGGCCTGATCCAAGATTGGCTTCTCTTATGTTCTATAGATGGAACACTCTGTCTGGGGCAAGGGATGCTCTGTATTCTTGGTGTTTGGGGGGGGGGCAACAATGGGAGAGTTTCTAGTGTCCTGGCCCCAGTGCTGGATCTCCTGATGGAACCTGATCCAACATTGGCTTCTCCTATGTTCTTATATGGAGCAGAGGTCCATCAGTGGCTATTAGCCACAAGGTATTGATAGGAACTCTCAGTCTGGGGCAAGTGATGCTCTGTCTTCTTGGTTCTTGGGAGGGGGGTAACAGTAGGAGGGCTTCTAGTGTCCTGGCCCCACTGCTGGACCTCCTGATGGCACCTGGTATTTTTGGCCACTGTATGACAAGAGTGTTGGACTGGATGGGCCACTGGCCTGATCTTATGTTCTTATGTGATCTCATGCATTGTTCCCTCTGGTGACTCCTTTTTATTTCTGTTGCAAGGAGCAGTTCAACATGGATACAATCATGGACCCCGTTTTTGCAACCAGTTCACCATCCCTGGGGAATTGCAGCGGGCCAAACCACACCTGTAACGTGGAGAGCAGCGTCGCCTACGTGGATTTTTACCTCCACCAGCCCCTCATCGCCGCAATCTTCATCATCTCCTACCTCCTCATCTTCCTCCTGTGCATGATCGGCAACGGAGTGGTGTGTTTCATTGTGCTGCGGAGCAAGCACATGCGCACCGTCACCAACCTCTTCATACTGAACCTTGCCGTCAGCGATTTGCTAGTGGGGATATTTTGCATGCCTACCACGTTGCTGGATAATATAATCTCCGGTAAGTTTCGCCTCCGTCCTTGAGGTTTGGAAAATAGCACATTGAGGGGGTGCTGTTTCTCGTGAGAAAATCTGAGGAGGTCCACCTTATTTATCGAGAAGCATTTTGATGTCACTGTTTAGCGAGAGCAGAGTCGGGCTTGCAGGTCCCTTGGTTGGAGTAGGGAATAGTGCTGGGGGGGGGAAGTCTTGGCCTCTGTACCCTGTGTGTTCAGATTCCAGGGCAGCTGGTTTGGCACTGTCTGAAAGAGGATGCTAGGTAGACTTATTGAATCATAGAATCACAGAGTTGGAAGGGACCTCCAGGGTCATTTAGTCCAACCCCCTGTACAGTGCAGGAAACTCACAAATACCTCCTCCCCCCCCCCACACACAAGTCATCAAATAAAAAATAGACACACTCAAAAAAGAAAGAAGAAGTTTGACCCTTTTCTGTCCTTCAAGGAGAGAGAACAATATGAGATTGCGGAACTTACGAGTTCACTCACCAATTCAGAATAACGAAGCCCCCAGGGCTTAATAGGGACAGAGGATTCTTCTCTCACTACAGATGCTAATTTTCTGCCCCCAAGCATTTCCCCTCTGGTCTAATCTACACAATGGATGACCACGTTCCGTGTCCCTTTTCATCCTGTGTCCCGTCTCCGCAACACCCCTCCCACCTTCTGACTGGGATATAAGGACTCAGGGATCTCCATTTCGACTTGTATCTGATGAAGGGAGCGTTGACTCTCGAAAGCTTCCACCCCAAAAACCTTGTTGGTCTCGAAGATGTTACCGGACTCAATTCTGTCTTTCCTGTCCTTTACCACTGAGTAGACTTAAATGCAGTTTTTCTACCTTCAGCTCATCCCCTTTCTTATTCTCCAGGGTGGCCCTTCGGGAACACGGTCTGCAAGATGAACGGGATGATCCAGGGCATCTCCGTCTCGGCCTCCGTCTTCACTCTGGTTGCAATCGCCGTGGACAGGTAGGACCAGGGCTATTTCTGGGCAGGAACGCACAGGAACAGAGTTCCGGCGGGCTCTCGAGTTGGCCACACCCAGCAGGAACTCATTAGCATAACAGGCTACACCCATCAGCAGAAACTCATTAGGATTGGCTACATTAGGGGTGTGTGGCCTAACATGCAAAGGAGTTCCTGCTACAAAAAAGGCCCTGGACAACAAACAAGGTAAACAGAATAAGAAACAAAAGGTGGGTGTGGCTGGATGACCACACTTCTGGTAACATGGGGGTGCGGCCTAATGTGCTAATGAGCTGTGCTGTCAGGGGTGTGGCCCAATATGCTAATGAGTTCCTGCTATTGGGTGTGGCCTATTATGCTAATGAGTTCCTGCTGGGCTTTTTCTACAAAAAGAGCCCTGGTAGGACTCTGTCAAAGCCTGGGAAACAGAGCCGAATACAATATTGTCTGTTACCTCCAAGAAGCCTGCCATCATAGCTTTATGCAGGAACACCAAGAAGAGGTCTCGCACAGCCAGAAAAAGACTCACCGTTAATACAATCTGAGAGCTTGTGGCTTGGTGCAGGAGCACTGTGAAGGGCCCAGGCTGGAAAACGGTGGAATGAGCATCCTTTCTTTATCAAGAGTTAGAGGCTGTTGACCCAGGACCGTACCTACGGTGGGTCTTTTGGGGGCTCCGCCCCCTTTCTTAAAGGCACAGCCCTGCACGAATTTCTCCTGTAAATGCTTTTTTCCAATAATTTTAAAGCATTTTTAAAAGATGTGTGCTCCTTTATGCAGAGTGGGGCGCTGTAGTTGACTCATTCCCACACTGGGCAAGGGAGTTGGAGTAGGTGACCTCTAGAATCCCTTCTAACTCTGTGTCAGGAAACTGGTCTCCTTGAAGAGAGTTTTTCTGCCAAAGTGTTGGCTTTCGTGACTATAGAAGTCATCATCCCCATCTGCCGGCTTGTTCTCAGCATTTGTTCTCAGCATTGTTGCTTCGGCTGGCAGAAGTGATTTTATTTATTTATATTTATTTATTTATATTTACATTTATATCCCACCCTAGCCCGAAGGCTCAGGGCGGCTAAATAGGGCACTGTGTGCCGGGTTAAAACAATAACATATAGTTTAAAAACAATAAATTACAATAAAATATCATAACAAATTACAACAAATTTCAGCAAGAGGGGGAGATCTTAACCTCACATAGCTACGTCCTACGATCTTGTCCTCAGAGGCGTGTCCAAGCACCTCGCTCCACCCTTGGGGCCAGGCAATCAGATGTTAGTACGCCAGGGCATAAGGGATACAGGTGGAATAGCAGTGGCAGCGGCTCCTACTCAAAAGCCTGGCGGAAGAGCTCCGTCTTGCAGGCCCTGCGGCACTGAGAAAGGTCCCGCAGGGCCTTAATCTCCTCCAGGAGCTCCTTCCACCAAGTAGGAGCCACCACCGAAAATTCCCTAGTCCTGATCGCTGCAAATTTAACTTCTCTCGGGCCTGGAATTTCCAGGAGACGACGCCCTCCCGACCGAAGTGCCCTTGGGAGAACATATGGAGAAAGGCGGTCCCTCAGGTAGGCTGCACCCTGGCCATTAAGGGCTTTAAAGGTCAAGACCAGCACTTTGAAGCGAATCCAGTACGCTATCGGCAGCCAGTGCTGTACCTCGTCCTGACATGTGTTGAATATAACAATATAGCTCCAACCAAGTCAAACATCAATACTGTGATACTGATGTGATTTTGCAGTTCTCAGACTCCCACAGGCAATCTTTTATGACGAGCCAGGGGTTCTTGTGCACCTGCTTCTATTAAGCTTGTTCTCTAAAAGGGTCAACACAGGTCCGTAGCAAGGATTTTGTGGCTTGTGCGGCAATTTCTTTTCCTGGTGGGATTGAAATTTTCAATGCAGAAAAAAAAAGCCATTTAGCCCACAGAATGCTGTTCCCAGGATAGAGCTCTAAATTGCAAGCTGTCAACCACTTTAGATGATAGTTCTCAGCTGCTGCAAGTTAATCCCTCAGCCTTTCCTCGTAGGGCTTGGTCTCCACTTCACAGGGCGTCTGTTTTGGGGAAAGGAAGGGAAGGCGATTGTAAGCCGCTTTGCGACTCCTTAAGGCAGAGGAAAGTGAGGTGTACCAACCGAGTCTTCTTCTTCTGAAGTTGGTGACCAGTTTTATTGCATGTATTTATCGTTGTTCTCTATTTTTTAAGTTTGAATGTTCTGTTGTGTATCTTGTGAACCCCCCCGAGTCCTCTGTTGAGGAGAGGGTGCGAGTTCTAAATCAAGTCACAATAAATTCAGATTGTGCATACGCTCGTGAGGGGGTTCCATCATGGCCGTCCTTTGCTGCTGAAAGGAGGGATCCCCAGATCAGGCACCAGCCGAAAGCCGGGTGCCGACGATTTTACCGCCTGTGAAAACAACAAAACCACACATAGCTTCTCTGCCCTTCACTTGTACCTGTTTTGCAAAAATACCGGAAGTACTTTCTTCTGATTGATTACTGGTGTAACTTTGGAGACAGGTGACAAATGGTCTTCATCACTGTCCCCCCTGTTTTGCTTTTGGAGTGCCTAAAGATTCGAAAGCAAATAATTTTTTCCAGGGCTTTTTTTGTAGAAAAAGCCCAGCAGGAACTAATTAGCATAATAGGCCACACCCAGCAGCAGAAATGCATTAGCATATTAGGCCACACCCCTGACTGCACCACTCATTAGCATATTAAGCCATACCCACATGTTACCAGAAGTGTGGTTATCCAGCCACACCCACCTTTTGCTTATTATTCTGTTGACCTTGTTTGTTGTCAAAACCCAGAGCCTTTTTTTGTAGCAGGAACTCCTTTGCATGTTAGGCCACACACCCCTAATGTAGCCAATCCTAATGAGTTCCTGCTGTTGGGTGTGGCCTATTATGCTAATGAGTTCCTGCTGGGTGTGGCCAACTTGGGAGCCAGCCGGAGCTCCGTTCCTGTGTGTTCCTGCCCAAAAATATCCCTGATTTTTTTTAAAGGTTAAAGGGAACAGCTGGCTCTTTATATATAGTCTGGCTGGTCATAGCTGAGAGAAATACACAGTCCACTGTGGTCAGTGTTGCAGGGGTATCTTTTAATGTTTGGGACGGCAGATGGTAAGGAAGCAAATTTCTGTTATACGGAAAATCGAGAATCTTGTTTAATATGTTTGCATTCACTGTTAGGAGCCATGAGTACGTTTGCATGCAGAAGGCCCCAGGTTCAATCCCTGGCATCTATCTAGGGCCATGGCTCAGTGGCAGGACATCTGCTTGGCATGCAGAAAATCCCAAATGCAGTCCCTGATTTTTCCAGTTAAAAGAAGAAGAAGAGTTGGTTTTATATCCCGCCCTTCACTACCCAAAGGAGTCTCGAAGTGGCTTACAATCACCTTCCCTCAGGCTTCCCAAGTACTTACCGTGATTCGGCGGGGGACACAGATGTCTTCGCAGGATCATTCCCGCAGGGACAACAGATGCGCCGCACCATGCTGTCGCCAGGAAGTGACGCCGGGTGACACTCTGGAAATGAGGCTGGAAACTCGATGGTACCATCGAGTTTTCAGCCCCATTGCCAGAGCGTTGCCCAGCGACACTTCCTGGCGACAGCATGCTGCGTTACAGGGAGGAGTGGTCCGGCCGGAGAGCATGTTTCCCCCTCTGGATCGCGGTAAGTACTTGGGAACCCTACCTTCCTTTCCTCTCCAGTGAGAGCCAGTTTGGTGTAGTGGTTAGGAGCACAGGCTCTAATCTGAGAGAACCAAGTTTGATTTCCCAGTCCTCCACTTGCAGCTCTGCTGTGACCTTGGGTCAGTCACAAGTTCTTTCAGAGCTGTTCTCTCACGAGCAGTCCTCGGAAGAACTGAGCCTCCTCCCCACCTCACAGGGTGTCTGTTGTGGGGAGAGGAAGGGAAAGGAGTTTGTAAGCCGCTCTGAGACTCCTTCAGGTAGTGAAGGGTGGAGTATAAATCCAATCTCTTCTTCCCCTCACAACAAACACCCTGTGAGGTAGGTGGGGCTGAGAGAGCTGTGACTGGCCTGAGGTCACCCAGCTGAGTTGGATTGGGCAGTAGGTGATGTGAAAGGTCTTAGCCTGAGACCCTGGAGAGCCACTGCCAGTCTGTGTAGAAGAAGAAGAGATTGGCTTTATACCCCGCCCTTCACTACCAGAAGGAGTCTCAGAGCGGCTGACAAACTCCTCTCCCTTCCCCTCCCCACAACAGACACCCTGTGAGGTAAAAGAAGAAGAAGAAGAGATTGGATTCATACTCCGCCCTTCACTACCCAAAGGTGTCTCAGAGCGGCTGACAAACCCCTTTCCCTTCCCCTCCCCACAACAGACACCCTGTGAGGTAAAAGAGGAAGAAGAAGAAGAGATTGGATTTATACCCCGCCCTTCACTCGGAGTCTCAGAGCGGCTGACAAACTCCTTTCCCTTCCCCTCCCCACAACAGACACCCTGTGAGGTGGGTGGGGCTAAGAGAGCTCTGACAGAAACTGCTCTTTTTCAAGAACAGCTCTTATCAGAACTACGGCTTGCCCAAGGTCATCCAGCAGCTGCGAGTGGAGGAGTGGGGAATCAAACCCGGTTCTCCCAGATTAGAGTCTGCGCACTTAACCACGACACCAAACTGGTTGTAGACAGTGCTGACCTTGATGGGCCAAGGGTCTGATTCGGTATATAGCAGCTTCATGTGTGTGTTTGTGTGGTCTCCAGTAAAAAGGGTTAGGTGATGTGAAAGACCTCTTCCTGAGACCCTGGCGAACTGCTGCCATTCAGAGCAGAGAACATTGATCATGACAGACCAGTAGCCTGACTCAGGGGAAGGTAACTTTGGGATCAGTAGCTAAGGGTGTCAACACAATTTAAAAGAGAAAGTTTCAAATTAAAGACCAATCCCTGTATCTTGAAAATCGTCTTTTGTACTGTTTCCCGGTACACTTGAGCCCTTGGGTATGACCACCATATATAAATGTAATCTGATTTTGGAGAGGCACAAAGCCAGTCCTTATTACTAACTGAGACAGGAGGTGTAGATAATCCGTTTGATGTTAGGGGCTGCTGGTACACCATTTTAAAGCAGCTCTCTGCTCCTCATACACTGAGAGACAACTCCATTCCCTTCGTATGAATACATTTCCATTTGCCAGCATCCAAACAATATGCTTATTCCTTTTCAGAATATGAGTTTTTCCCTTATCTGACTTCAGACTATGTGGTCTCGAGTAAATCTAGGACAAGATCTTCTTGTCTGATGTCATCACAAGCTGTTCAGATTGTGTCTGTTCATGTGCTGTGTTACCAAATTGAATCTGCTGTATTAAAGAAAAGAAGCTTTTACACATGAAATTGCCTTATACTGAATCAGACTGTTGGTCTACCAAAGTCGTTATTATGTACTCAGACTGGCAGTGGCTCTCCAGGGTCTTGGGCAGAGGTCTTTCCCATCACCTGCTCCCTGGCCCTTTTAGCTGAAGATGCTGGAGATTGAACCTGGGACCTTCTGCATGCCAAGCAGGTGCTCTACCACTGAGCCACGGCCCCCTCCATAGCTCTCCAGGGTCTCAGGCAGAGGTCTTTCACATCAGCTGCTGACTGGTCCTTTCAACTGGAGATGCTGGGGATTGAACCTGGGACCTTCTGCATGCCAAGCAGATGCTCTACCGCTGAGCCACGGCCCCCTCCATAGCTCTCCAGGGTCTCAGGCAGAGGTCTTTCACATCAGCTGCTGACTGGTCCTTTCAACTGGAGATGCTGGAGATTGAACCTGGGACCTTCTGCATGCCAAGCAGATGCTCTACCGCTGAGCCACGGCCCCCTCCATAGCTCTCCAGGGTCTCAGGCAGAGGTCTTTCACATCAGCTGCTGACTGGTCCTTTCAACTGAAGATGCTGGGGATTGAACCTGGGACCTTCTGCATGCCAAGCAGATGCTCTCCCACTGAGCCACAGCCCCTCTGCAAAACAGATTGCATTCATACACAGTGGTCATACCCAGAAGACAGTACAAAAGACAATTTTTGAGATATGGGGAATTGGTCCTTAATTTTAACTTGTAGATAAGATATATAGTGGGTTTTTGTTTCACTTCTCACGACGGTTGTGAGCTCTGAGTTAGGAAATACCTGGAGATTTGGGGGTGGAGCTTGAGGAGGGTGGGGTTTGGGGAGTGGGACGTCTTCAGTAGGATTTCATGCCATGGAGTCCACCTTCCAAAGCCGCCATTTTCTCCAGGTCAACGGATCTCTGTTGCCTGGAGGGAAGTTGTAATCCCAGGAGATCTCAAGCCACCACCTAGAGGCTATACAAAGACTGGTACGGACACAGTCAAAGACCAGAAAAAATAACAAAAACTGTGTACTAACAATATCTAACAAAATAGAAATTCATATGCTGAATAAATAAGAAACAAACCATAATTTCTATGTCAGGAAGAAGGACATCATGAACATACATTCACAATTGCGTAAATAACTAACAAAGGAATGGTGCAAAAAGTCCAACAAATGTACAAATTGTTGCTCCAGAAGGGTGGTTCCAAATGAGGAGATCATGAAGATTCTCTAACGAACATGCTAGCGAATGGCTGCCTCGTTTCGCCCTGAAGCTTTTTCAAAGAAGAACCAAGATTCCAATCTGTATCAAAATTCAAGAGGGAACATTCCACACATTTTCTACATCAGTCTGTCTCCATGCAGAAGATGTCCTCATTTGATACCACTCTTCTGGAGCAACAATTTGTACATTTGTTGAACTTTTTGCACCATTCGTTTGTTAAATTATGTACACAATTGTGAATGTATGTTCATGATGTCCTCCTTACTGTCATAGGAATTACCCTTAGACATATGGTTTGTTTCTTCATTCTTTATTCAGCATATACATTTCTATTTTGTTAAATATTGTTGGTAAACAATTTTTGTTATTTTTTTCTGACCACCTAGATACCAGCAACTCCTCAAATAAATTTCTTCATATGGTGCTACTTCATAATTAAATCTCTATCTATCATCTATCTATCTATCTATCTATCTATCTATCTATCTATCTATCTATCTATCTATCTATCACTGCTCATACGGCTATCACTTTAAGCAGAAATTAGAGCCAAAGAAAATATTTTAAAAGACCTTAGTATTATTTCTCTTATATTTGATTATTGCGCCTATGAATTTTGCCACTGAGAAGGTGACATGATCGTTGGTATCCGATAGTAGCCATGACACCTGGGCTCGCACATTTAGCAGTTCCATATCTTTAAGTAAAGGGGTGACTAAATTAGCCCTCAGCTCATCGAATATAGGGCACTCCATAATCATATGATCAATGGTTTCGATTGTATGATATGAGCATCTGCATGTTCTATTAGAGTATGATACTTTATTAGATCTTGCCAAAGTAAAAGCTCTTCTTAGTTTTGGGACTGTCAACTGATAAAAATATTCCGGCAGTTGCATCGGGAGGGCAATTCCCAAATGAAGTGTCGAACATACCCTGCGCGCCCTGATAGATGTGCTTGTAACATCCCATTTCCTTACAGATTTTTTAATTTATCTTCTAATGTCTTTAGTTTCTGTATTTTTAATCATATCATTTGTTATTCCTAGGCATTTCATTTTCCTTTCCAATAGACAATGTCCAAGATAGACATTAACGTGTGCATTCTGTCTTCATCCAAGGTTCCGTTCCATCGTCTACCCATTCAAGCAAAAGCTCACCATATCGACGGCCGTCGTCATCATTGTGGTCATCTGGGTTTTGGCTGTGGCCATCATGTGCCCGTCCGCAGTGATGTTGAAGGTGGAGAAGGAGAAGCATTTCCGGGTGATCCTCGGTGATGGGAACAAAACCAGCCCGATATACTGGTGCCGGGAGGACTGGCCCAACCAGGACATGAGAGAGAAAGATCTTCACGACGGTGCTCTTCGCCAACATCTACCTGGCTCCCCTTTCTCTCATTGTCATCATGTATGCGCGGATAGGGATCACCCTCTTCAATACCGCGGTCCCCAGCGCCGGGAAGCACGGCCAAGAACGCCACTCGGTTTACAAGAAGAAGCAGAAGGTCATCAAGATGCTTATCATTGTGGCGTTGCTTTTCATCCTCTCGTGGCTGCCCCTGTGGACCTTGGCAATGCTCTCGGACTATGCCGACCTGACCGAAGAGCAGTTGCAAGTCATCAACATCTACGTCTACCCTTTCGCCCACTGGTTGGCCTTCTTCAACAGCAGCGTCAACCCCATCATCTATGGGTTCTTCAACGAGAACTTCCGGAGGGGTTTCCAGGCGGCCTTCAGGTTTCAGCTTTGCTCCAGGGACTCGATATCCCGGGAGATGTATTCCCAGCGGGGGCAAAGCAACGCCGTTTTACCAGCAGCTGTCCCCCAACAAACGGCTCAGCATCCTGTGGCGGCGGGAAGGCCACCTCAGAAAGGGAACTGGATGGACAAGACGCAAGTGCTGATGCTGGAAGATCTAGAAAAGGCGGGAAATAGTAATGGGATTAAACAAGACTTGCTGTGAACTACCTCATCCTGTTCGGTTGGTGCCGACTTTAACAATGGCCTCGCTGCTCAAGCCCTGCCTGGCAAAAACGACAGCTCTTTTAGGACTTCGCCGCATGTTCCTTTTGTATAATATTTGGTTGTTTGGAAAATAGAGGTCAGTCTGTTCCTGAATCAGGAGAGATTCTGTTGTAATTAAGAAAAATGTTTGGACTTTTACCTCAGCGGCAGCTTTGAAGTCATGCGTTCAGGTAGGCCCTGGATCCTACTCGGAGATGGTCGATCCCAAAAATTTCTAATGTAAATAATTAAAAAATGCTTGAACAACCTGTTGCAAGTCATGTTTTATTGAAGAAGAAGAAGAGATTGGATTTATACCCCACCCTTCAATACCGGAAGGAGTCTCAGAGTGGCTTACAAACTCCTTTCCCTTCCCCTCCCCACAACAGACACCCTGTGAGGTAGGTGGGGCTGAGAGAGCTCTTTCGAGGACTGCTCTTGAGAGAACAGCTCTGAGAGAACTTGTGACTGCCCCAAGGTCACACCAGCAGCTGCCTGTGGAGAAGTGGGGAATCAATCCCAGTTCTCCTGGATTAGAGTCTGTGCTCCTAGCCACTACACCAAACTGGACAATGATTTTTCAGACTTGGAAACCCTTCTAGTAGAAAAGCATCCAACCCTATACGAGAAACAAAAATTTCTGAGTGTACAGAGTCAGCACTCTAATACCACGTGGCCCTAGTTCGGAAGAGAAAACTTTGACTTTAATTCTATTTTTACAGTTGTTTCTGCCCTTAGAAATAAATATGACCATCATCAGAATCGTTTCATTGTGTGAATTCTGGGAACGGTCAGCTGGTCCGAAATTCAGCAAAGGCCAAAACAAAATACCATGGACAATAAGAAAGACAAATTCACAAAATATATATTAGAAAGTGTAAAGTCAATTCAAGCACAACGAAGTCGCAATTTCAACACTCAAATTGCATATTGCATAGAAAAGGCCAAATCCATTCCAAGACAATTCAAAGCACGAATCAACATGAATAAAGATACTTATGAAAATCAAGCGCTTGTGTTAAGTATTCCTCCTTTCCAGAACAAGATGTGAGTGTCCCTCCCTATATATATTGGAAAGGAGGAATACTTAACAGAAGCACTCTGTTTTCATAAGTATCTTTATTAACGTTGTGGGGAGGGCGGGGTAAAAATTGCATAAATAAATAAATTAATTAAATAATAAATTTTTTAAAAGCTAAGAAAAACGGAACTCCTTCATTAAAAGCCAGCCATGGAACAATCCCTCTCGCTGTCTCAGGCAAAATTTGTGGCAGGGTACGCGCTTTTGTGAGTCACTGCTCACTTCGTCAGAGCTGAAATATTTGAAGAAGTGAGCAGTGACTCACGAAGGCTTATACCCCAAAGTGAGCAGTGACTCATGAATAGGGTTGCCAAGTGGCACTTACCTTGCCGGCGGGGGACTCCCGCACGTTGGGGGCGGGGCCACGACCATACAAGGGAAAAACATAGAGTTTTCCCTTGTATGGCCATGGCCCCGCCCTCAGCGTGCCCGGCATCATAACGTCACTTACCTGTGACGTGCACACTGGAGCGGGGTTCCCCCCGGGGCCCGATTCCCCAGCATCGGGGAACGGGCCTCTGGGGCGGGGGGATTTCCGCCCCCCAGGGGGACTTGGCAGCCCTACTCATGAAAGCTCATACCTTAGAAGTGAGCAGTGGCTCAAGAAAGCTCATACCCCAGAGGTGAGCGGTGACTCACGAAAGCTCACCCTCTGCCACAAATTTTGTTAGTCTTTAAGGTACTGCTGGCCTCTTGCTCTTTTTTACTGCTACAGACAGACTAACATGGGCCCCGCTCACATGGAGCATTTGCTGCGCTGAAGGCACAATCATCCTGCGGATTATCCGGGCACGATCACACCGGAATATCTGGGAGGCGTAGCGCACCCGTGGAAACCAGTGGCGTCCCGCCGAAGATGTGCATTAGAAAAGTACCTGGGATGACCTACTGGCACATGGTTTGCCATGGGCTGCATGTAGACTCCCTGGGTGTGATCGCGCCAGCGCACAGCTTTCTCCCCATCGTCCTCTTTGCTGCAGGGAAGCCGCCGTCTCGTCTGATCACATAATGGTGCATCAGAATGCGACGGTGCAAATAGCCGCACTTCCCAACCCCCAACCCCACGTTTTCCAGCACGTCTGACCGGGGCCTAGGTGACCCATCTTGACCCGTCTCAGACTAACCCTTCCAAACAAGATCATTATGAGGTTTAAATAGGGGAGGAAGAAACCCCGAGAGCCTTCGAGAAAGAGAGGGATGAAGCAGCTGCAGTAGACAGATTCTGACCCTCGTTGAAGTGGCAGTGGACAACCCCCTGCCTCAGCTGACTTTCTGAAGGACTTCCATGACAGCTTAAAATTCCAGTGGAGTCACCCTGACCTGGGTAGCCCAGGCAAGCCCGATCTCGTCAGATCTCGGAAGCTAAGCAGGGCCGACCCCGGCAAGAACTTGGAAGGGAGACCTCCAAGGAATACCAGGGCTTTGGACACAGAGGCAGTCACTTAAATAAATAAAGATTCCAGATCCTGCACTTCTTGGGACATGCCTGCACTATGAAACACGGATTGCTTTCAAACCGCCAGGGCCTTTTGCCCGCATCCAAACAACGTGTTGGATCCCAAGGACAGCGACACTTTTTGCCCAATGCAAGGAGCATTTCCCCAGCTGAAGTGCAAAATAGCCTCTTGCATTGGGAAGGCACCTCATACTGGTGGATAGTCCCACCTCTGGAAGAGGGGGGCCCAGCCCATTATTTCCAGAGAGGGCGAGAGAGGTCTACCAGAAAACCTGGGTCTGCGGCCTCCTAAAACATACAGTTTTGAGCATTCCTTGTAGGAGGAGAGGCAGGCTTAGGATCCGGGAGAGAGAGAGAGGATCATTTAAGACCTTGTTGAAAACACACAACCTAAAGGAGGTTGGTTGTGAAATGGAAGTCACTTTTTTATTCTCTTGGGGGGGGGGACCTCTCATTTCCCACCTCCCCAGATTTAGATTTAGTCAATAACAAGGTCTCTGAAACAATTCAAGCCCCACTAGGGGTCACCAGAAGTCAACCATGTCTGCCCAGGGCCCCCCAAAATTTGGAACTGGCCCCGGTTGTGTGACTAGCACCTAACCTAAATTTGTTGGAGTAAGCCAGAAAGCAATGTGGTTTAGACCATGGAGTCCTAGGGGTGAACAGAGTTTGTTTGTTTGTGTTATTTATAGCCCACCTTTCTGACTTGGGGTGCGGTCAGATGGCATTCTGGGAGCCGTTTAAATTGCTCCGGTCCTGATGCATGTTTTTTTTTTTAACTTGGAGAATCGTGATCACACTTACCTCCTTTTTCCGGATCGCTGCGCAGCCACATCGCTCCCCGCCGTCCACACGCAGGAGCGTGCATCGGTGGGTTTTTTTCTTTCAGTTTGGGCATGCGCACAGGCGGCCATCTGTAGAATTAAAATTTTTCACGCGTGTGCAGAACAGCGATTTCCACTTCAACCCAACTGCTGTAACACTTCCCTTTAAACTTGAAAGGAACACTTCCCTTTAAACTTGAAAGGAACACTTCCCTTTAAACTTGAAAGGAACACTTCCCTTTAAACTTGAAAGGAACACTTCCCTTTAAACTTGAAAGGAACACTTCCCTTTAAACTTTTACCCCAAAACTGGCCTCCGTGAGACCCCAAACTCGTCTAACCAACAAAACTTGGCACCGTTTAAACATTGTTTTTAATAACGGTGGGGCGGAGCTCCGCCTGTGCGCATACCGCTGATGCTAAAATAAAATGGCGAGCGAAGAGCGGAAGCCTCGGGCTTCCGAGCGGAAGTGGCTCGACACCGCAGGAGCGATCAGACGTCAGAAAAGTGCGGCTAGAACCGGAGAATCAGGAAAACAGCACTTGAGGACCTGGTAACAAAATACTCCCTTTTAAAGGGGATTTGAGCCGGAAAGCGACGGCTGGGGACGGTGCACAGATGTTGGGTGGGTGAACATGGATATAAAATCTGTTACTGAAGTTTGCCGAAAGCGGACTAAACGGCTTGTCTGAATGCACCCTTGGTCTCAAGGTGGATTACAGGAGGCAACATCAAGGGAAGGCCTCACCCTCTATGGAGCAGAGTTCCATCAGTGGCTATGTTGCTATGTTGCTTTTATTCTCAGGGAGCCCCAATAGCAGGGGCTTCAAACCTGACCCAGAGACCCACAAAACTCAGGCCAAGGAAGGCACTCCTCCTTCTGAAACACAGAGCTAGCCACAGCTCTGAAAAAGGGCTCTCCATTTTCAGGTTTCATAAGGCAACCTCAGAGCAAACTTCCACTCTTCCCCCTCCACCCAGCAGAGGTATACTTATGGAATGACAATGGGTTCCACTGTTAAAATATCTACATTTCTAAAGGCTATCCAGAGACCACCTGGCAAATAGTCCTCTTCTCTCCAGTACCTCACTCAGCCCTTTTGTGTGGTCCTGTGTCTATGTGTGAGTTCTTTGTCCTTCCTGGCTCCATCCCTCAGGATACTGAGATAAACCAATCAATCAGTCAAATGCTTAGCAATCTAATCAGGGACCCATCTCCCATCTTTTGTCTGTATCTGGGAACCTATTCAACTGCCTTGGCAGGACCATTAGTGGTCAGAAAACCCATTCAACTAGCCACCCAGCAGCTGGCTAAATCAAGGCTTTTGTTAAGCCTGACTCTGCCTCTCTGGAACTTCATTGGTCACATTCAGGCCTTTCCCATCCTGATGCCACGCAGCCCTGGGACTCATCATTGGTCCAGGTAAGCTGTTGTTCTCACCTGAGACCAGCCCCCAAGGCCTTCCATAGGTCTGCCTTGTTTTCTAGTGTTTATAACCATCCAGGCACATAGCCCCAGACCGTGTGCCACTGCTCTGATGCCAAATGGCAGTCCACCCCTAAACCTCTGGGTTTAGGCCATAATCCTTTCTTCATGGACCTCTGCACGTCTGGACAGGTAGCATCACCCCATAACT